ATTTAAAACAAAATAGATAGAATTGAATAGAAAACATACTGAGAAAATTATTAATCTCATTCAAAACTACTAGATGTAAGAATATAATTATTTTGTATTTATTTGAAATATATTCAATAAACCACCAAGGCGAAGGAACGCTGTTCGGTGCAGCTATTATTATAATTTATGGTTACAGCACATGGATTCTTATGGTTACAGCACATCCAAATTTGAACGAAAACAATATATTTAAACACGATCATTAGTAATCAGCAAAATAAGTTATGAAAAAATGCTAAAGTGTGTCAAAAATTGGGTGTTTACTTCACCGCATAGCATGTTGCATTGAAAAATTCAAAATTTTGGACAGTGAAACATTAATCGCCAAATCGAACGATGAATCAAGTGCAAGTGGTTTCTTTTGCATTGATTATGTTAGGGCACTAATATATAAGACTGGAGACGTCGACAAACCGAAAGGGGTGTTTGTTCTGTAGGATCTTCTTTGGAAGGTGTTTACTAGCCATTATTCTCGAATTTGGTGCTGAAACGTAGGGTAAAACCTCCATTATTTGCTCCATTATCAACCAATTACTGTTGGAATCGATAGAATTCATTGGGAACTATCTGACTTAAGACAGAATTTTGCTTTGCAAGCAGAAAAAACCACACTAATGGCTCAATTCTTGAAAAATAGCATTTCCATGAAAAAAGGACCATCTTTTTAACTTCACAAAAAGACACCATATTAATTATTTCTCTTCTGTTTTTGGATGTTTGTTATAGGCGAAGGTCCAAAATATTTGAAACGTGCAACAATCGATTGGATGGATTGAGAGAAAGTTGAAATAAATTGACAAACCGGTCTGCCAAAGTATGATTTTGAAGGTTCGGCGCATACTAAGAAAAATCGAAGACAATGGTAGATTGAGTGTAATGCAAATGTGCTATTCGATAGCCTATGAATAAAGGTTTATACCAATAAAAAAGAATTCAATATTGAGTGTTTGTTGTTCAAATGGCGAACGTCTGAATTTGTGCACATTTTGAGTGATACACGTGTTATTTATTGTATTTTTAAACAATCAAACATATGTATTGGGGGGTTTTTGGGTATGAGAAAACCGAATATGACTTTAGTTTTGCGATACAAAAAAATTTCAACACACTTTTCATACAAAAATTTCAAAAAATTTGGAATTTTGTATGAAAGCCATGCCTGTATGATATCGTAATGAACTGAAACTTTGCACAGGTTATTTTTTCACACGAAAATAACATTCCGAGAGTTTGAAGAGATTTGAATGGATAATAGGGGTACCTCCCGAACAAAATTTTGGATTTTTCGCTCAAAATCGAAAATTTTGTATATACTCAATTGTATTGAAATTTCTTCAAACTTTCAGAATGTTAGCTTTTTGTGAAAAAAATAACATCTGCACATTTTCACATGATTACGATATCATACAGGCATTGAAAAGTCCATCAAAAATTATTTGTATTGCAAAACTTATATCAGATTCAGTGGTCTCATGAATTCATATTTACGAAAAAAGATACGTAATAAATGCATATTGTGGATCCCAGTGTGGAAAAGTTCATCTTACGGATGTAAGACCTTATATATTTTTTTACGATAGATGGTGTTACGGCATGAATGGAGTGACTACGAGTAGCTTTTCATGATTGGAAAAAATTTCACATACATGCTCTCACATACAGACTCATACATAAATGACAGATGTCAGCAAAGTAAAAAATTCTTTGTTTATCAAGATTATTGTGACTTCCACAACAATTAATTTTTTTAATACATTTTTTGACAACCTTTAGTGAATCCATTTCATCAGACTCTTTGATTGAATTATTTGTGAGTTTCAGTGCAAAGCAAAAAGATTGAAGCAATGTCAGGATACAGATATACAGCTAATTCTGCGAATTTATTTGATGACGATGATATCGATGACGAAACATTTTTGAAAAATTCATCACGAGCACGGCAAGATCAACCATTTAGTTATCAGGAAAAAACAAGAGCTATTGAGGAACGCACACTTGCGTCTTCAAATCGAAGTTTGGGTCTTCTCTATGAAACTGAAAAAGTTGGAGTTGCAACGGCTGAGGAGCTAACACGACAACGCGAACAATTGGAAAATACCAATAAACATCTAGATGATATTAATCAAACATTGCGTTTCAGTCAAAAACATTTGAACGGCTTAAAAAGTATTTTTGAAAGCATATTTACTTTAAAATTACTATTCCATTACTTTAAAATTTCATTTTTTTTTCTGTTCGGTTACTTATTGTTTAATTTCCATTTTTTTTATCCTTAGGTATTTTTGGTGGTTTGAAAAACTACATTGCTGGGCAAAGAGATGAACAACCTCTTTCACAAGTAGCGCCAACACCAACAGTTGATAAAAGAAACGTCCAATCGTTTTCACAATTACATGGGACAAATATGCAGTCAGAAAGTATTTTACATCAGTCGCAATCAACAATTACTGGTACAGGTGGAAATTTCAACAAACAATTAGATAAAGTAATAAGTTTAAACTTATATAAATTTACTAAAAACTTTTTGTAATTAAAAACTTTAACTTATTTCGAGAAAGAACTTAGACGAAATGGCAGGAAGTTTATCACGTCTAAAGGGGCTTGCAATTGACTTGAATCAAGAGATTGACGATCAAAACGATTTAATCGAAAATATTACGACTAAAGTAGAAAATGTTGATGCTAAGCTCGGTAATTTAAAAGTTATACTACCTATGAGTAATATAATACAATATTATTTTTTTGTCATTCCAGGTAGACAAAACAAAGAAATTAATCGTCTATTGGGGAAGAAATGAGTTTTTCGGAAATATATCAAATTTGCAGCCAATTAGAGATAAAATTTATTCATCAATATTATATATATTATTATTATTATGTTTATTTATCGGAATACAGTCTCAAAACTTCTATAACAAAGAAAAAAATTCCAGTATCATTTTACGCAACAAATCAAAGAATCGTTTCATTAACCTTTATTTCAATTTTAGAATTTTATGTATCCAGCGTTTAAAAGTAATTGCAATTTCCCGTTCCGGCGATTTGCTTTTTTCGTTCGTAATATCGGTTAACAGCTGCAGTATAATCATCTCCAACCGTCCGTTTTTGCCATATTGCGAACGATGGTTTATTCTCCAAAGCAATAATTTGAGCTTTATTAATTTGTTCTCCGTCCTTTTTCACTTTCTTCGTATTTGATTTATCTTCTTTCAACAAAATGTCTTTTAATACTTCTTTCGTATTGTTATCAAAATTTATAACAGTTTGTACATTTTGTTCTTCAGAGTCTGAGGAGGAGTCAATATCGAAATCTGAGTCCGCATCCAAGTTCGATTGTAAATGAATATTTTTTTTTCCTGGAGTTTCTGATGTTTTTTCTTCATCTAAGTTTTCACTTCGTTTTCTATATACACGTCGCTTGCTTGCTCTCTCTTTGTTTTTTATTTCCTCGTTGGCACATATTTTTTGTTCGTAGATATGACGATAGAAGCCACTTAAATCTTTTTGTTTGCGTACATCGCCAACACTCTCCAAGTATTCTTCGCGTCGTGCTTCATCTTCGACCGTTTTCAATTGTTCCAATTTTTGCCGATAGGCAGAGGTAACAAAAACCTCCTTATTTTTAAATTGATCGCCCTCAGCTTCACGTTCCCGTTGCATTTTTCTCTCAATACGTCCCTCATGTTCGATTTTCCGCTTTTCCGCCGTAATTAACAATTTGCTAATGTATTTTGATTCTCTATTTACCTGGGAGGATAAAAACAAAAATGTAAAGTTTTAAGTTCACTTTTACGTTGAAAAATGTAAGGTTTCCAATCTAATTTACGATTTTATTTATATTTGCTGCGCAACATAATGTAAACATGTTTTTCCTAAATATGAGCATAGACTCCTGTTTCTACAAATGATTACGCTTGAGGAGAGACGCGAGATGGCGCAGGTGTCTTTTATATTCAAAATTATTAATGGAGATATGAAGTCGAGCCATATATCAAACAGTTTAAATTATCATGATTCAGCGCATAATATCCGTGCAACGCCGCTTTTTGATATACCGATTGGAAGAAGCGATTACACGAAGTGTGAACCAATTAATTACATGCTTATTCAATGATTATTATACGAAAAAAAAAACCAAACAGTGATACTACTTTAATTGATTTAGAAGTAAATTTATCAACAGTCAAACTGAGAATTGAAAAATATTTAAAACAAAATAGATAGAATTGAATAGAAAACATACTGAGAAAATTATTAATCTCCTTCAAAACTACTAGATGTAAGAATATAATTATTTTGTATTTATTTAAAATATATTCAATAAACCACCAAGGCGAAGGAACGCTGTTCGGTGCAGTTATTATTATTATTATTATAAATTGCAAGTCATACGATTCTTTTGTACACACAGAAAGTATTTTTAATTCAAGTTTTCGAAACCACAGATGATCATGGGCCCCAGCAAACAAAAATGTAACGTTTTTTTATCTATTTTAACGTTGAAAAATGTAACGTTTTCACCCATTTCGGTGGTAATTTTCGTGTCAATGGAAAGTTGATGATTATATGCATGTTATCACTCTCTTTCAATACTTCTTTAATAAGTCATACTGTGTATGCCCGAATGTTCTTGATTGTGTGCACACCAAATTCAAATCGAAACCGAATATTGTCACATTTCGTTCACAATTTGACGTTTCACAGTAATTTTACATACTCAAGAGACAAGTCGTGATCGTGTTTTTAGTTTTATTCATTTGGACAGTAAATTTCTTTCATATAAGTCGAATTGTTGTGTGTGTTTGCAAAGAATAATGGATTATTCCCACCAAATTTTGCGTTCGACTTTGTTTTATATTGCAAACAACAAAGCATTCACAAACCTGAACAGTAAATATTCCAAATCAACTGGAAATTCGTTCGGCGGGTTTGATGCGAGAAGATTTAATGCAGAAGAAAGATGACGTTCAACTTCGGTCATTGTGTAATTTGGATCGCATCGATTTTAAAATGTGCTTTGATTTAAGTTTCATCTGGAAAACCGATTTCTTTGTAGTGTTTTGTTTGTTTAGATTTAGTGTGCTTGTGTTTTTTTTTGCATCGTCATGTGTTTATAAGTTTGCGTTCAACGGAGAATATGCGACGAATTTTGCGAAGCATTCAGAAAGAGAACATCGATATTGAATTAAACTATTGTTAATTTGTTTTTGTGCAGTGTTTTCCAATGGATTCGTTTGATCGTATACCATCAGAGTTATTGTTATTTTTGAAAAATCCCGTATATGCCGCAAATGTTTGTTGACATTTTTCAGAAGCACACTTCACTCTCTGAACACTTTTTGCATGTAATTTTTCATGCCTTTTTAAATTAAAATAATTTGCTTTAATTTTTGCTCCACAATAGCAACACAAAAAAAAACAATTGGTTTTATACAATTTAAAATATAATGGACAAGTATTTTATTTACAATGAATATTTTTTAGCCCGCTTAGCTGTCAAAGCAATGTAATGGATAGATGACACATATATATGTGTCAGATATATCTGACCGCCAGGTGGCTGTTTGTAGCTAAGGGGACAGATATATGCCTAAGTCGTACCGGGTGCATGGCCCGATAAAGAATGCTTGGGAAATGGTTTCAATTATTTCTACCAAGATCACATTCGAAATACCCAGACCAATCTCAACACTTATTGTTCAGAACATGTTGAATCGTTTTTTCAAATGAAACGCTGGTATTATAACATGAATATCAATGGCCATCAATACTATGGATCAAAATTCGACGGCATCGATATACGAAACGCAAAAGTGTACGCCACTAGTAACAAAGATCTGACACATGGTGATGAAAAGAGAACAAATAAGATGAACATTTTATTGTATGAACTGGAAAGAATCGGTTGGCGGTGTCAAAAAGTTCATAATGGACAATTGGTTCCGGTCACTGTCAATGAGTTCGTTAAGGACAATTGGTTCCAATCACTGTGGATGTTCGGTCAAATGCAACGCCAAATCGAAGTGTTTCATCAATATGCACAACAATGGCATGCATTTCGTCGCAATGGATTGATAACGAACAATCGACCGCCAAAATTGAACAATTTCGCACTTGTCCCGTTATGCCGATTCCAACTGAAAAACGTTCGATTGGATATGAAAGATATGTATTACGGCAAGCAGAAGCGGTTTCACTCGCAAATCATCACCAATAGTGTTTGCGTGTCAATATTGTACGAGAAGCCAGCGAAGGCTTGGGTGGAAAATTCGGAGCAGGCCACATTTAACAACATGACATATGCTAGTGCCATCGATCCGAACGAGAAAACGTGGGTGGCCGTTGTGCGCCGCCATATCAATTGAAACATTGAGGTAAATTAAGTTTGTTATTACAATTTTTTTCTTTCGGAACGTGATTGAAATTTGACGAAATTATTTAACAGGATAACATTAAAATATCCAATCCACGATTTCATTGGCAAACCGAGCAGAAGAAGAGAGATCGAAAGGCAGATCGATTGACCTGGTGGTATGTTGAAGAAGAACAACTGGATCTCAGATCGTACCCATTCATACCATCGCCGCGTGGATCCACATGGAAAACGTACATTCGGCATCGCATCAAGATGCTACGAATGGGAATGAAAGCATATGCGACTCGAAAATATGCACGATTGGATCTCGATCGCCACATCAAGGCTACCAAAACAAGTGATAAAGTTGCCATGCGGATAACGAACAACAAACCGTCTTGGATTTGGATTGGTGCTGGAGAAATGGCACCAAATCGGCCATGGGGCATAAAGAAGCGGAAAAGATGCCCGGGAACGCGTAAATTGGCAATCAGTTTCAAGAAACAAGAGCACACAAAGGTCAGTTTTCAAGATGAATAACGTGTGCCAATTGTCACGAGCGATTTCCAAGAAACACCAATTCGCATCGCTTCAAAATTTGTCGAAATTGCATACCAAAACCGATTGTTGGACTACCACCGATAATTGTGACGAATTTGAGCAGACAAGAGCTTAAGAAAGAGCGAATTGTAGAGAGAGCAATCAATCCAGATCGTGAGAACATCGAGCGTTTAGTGCCAAAGATAAAAGTTATCTTCAAAACTTGGTCATTAACTCGAGAATACTATGAATTGGGTGATGCTGCACCAGAAGACATGATTGAGCACGTAGTCATTTGGCACCGTGACATTGTTGCCGCAAAGAATATTTTATTCAAAGGTATGTGCATAATTATACAATTGTATTAATATTAAATTGAGAGCAGAGCGTTAGGTGTTCAGTGTTCATATTAATTGATTAATGTTTTGTGTTTGTTTCTGATTTTATAGGAATGTGTCGTCTTTTTGGCATACCATTGGCCGATTCGTTGAAGAGACCTGACAATCCACACCATGCGAACAATGTCAACTGATAGTAGCATAAAATCAACAATAATCATAAGAAGAATATTTTAACAATTTTGTTAGTTACTATGCGTGAATAGTTTAAATCCAAGGATTTCTATTGTACCCTTGACCGCAGTACGGGTCCCTATTTAGGGCTGTGCGGAATATAAAAGAACCCGTAGGTGAGTACTTTATTGAATTGATAGTTTATTTTTGCATTCAATCTAACTGAATTGTTTTTTTCTTTTTTTTCCTTTCCATTTTGACGGTAAAATAGACTGAAACTACACACAAATCCCCAATATTGACCGTCAACATATGCCCGATAATGGATGAATTTGCGTCGACGCTATAGCGCATGGATTTAGTGAATGTATTGAAGCAATTGGTAAAACTTATTCAACTGATAGTCTCTTTTGAAAAATATGCCTCAGAGATGTCAAAAATGGTAAATTTAATTCGTTGTTGGTTGATTTTATATTAATCTACCAAAATTGAATTAAAAATACCACATTTTTTCTCTCTGTGCAAACATTCATAAATGAAAGAAAAGTCTATGAATCTTTCCAGCCATAGCTTCTGACAGTCGCGTCCCAGGGAGGGAAATTTTTAATTTTTCGTTTTTTTTTGCTCTTCACTTTTTTTGTGCGAAAATCCCAACAGCAAATCGAAACAGTATTTTCTCTAATCCATTCTCCAGGAGGGTAATCAGACCCTGAACCGAATGCAATTGAATTAAATTTTTTAAATTAAAATTTATGTATAAATAAGAATGAAAATAGTTGAAAAATAAACAAAAGAAACGATAAGAATAATAATAGAAAAATAATCGATTTACATTTGATCTAGAGTTTTTTTCTATTTCACGTTTTGCACTCATTTCGTCATAGACTTCATCGTATTGAAATATAGTTGGATCTTCTTGTTGAGCTGCTAATTGAAGAAGTCGCGCCTGTCGTTTTTGAGTGGCACTTTCGCCCATTGAAATTGTCTTTGTCGCTGACTCTTCATCAGATTCACTGTCACTTACAAATGCCAATAAACGTGTGGTTGGCTTCTGAGCTTTTATCAATCCGTATCTGAAATATAAAGTATTAAATATATTATATTATTATTATTAATTATTATTTTGTATATATTCACTTCTTCTCAGCCATTTTCATATGATAAATAATCTTTTGCCTTCCGCTTGTAATCGTTCGAACTACATTCTCTCAATGTCAAAAGAAGTGGAAACATCTGGCAGCTCTCAATCAATTACCCACGATAGATGGCGTCCATTACTACAATAGCTTTTATGATAAGGATAATTTTTTTTTTTCAAAATCACTTTTTTTACTCATTTCTGTCATTTATATTTTTAGGCATTAAAATAGAATATGAACTTTTTTTGAAGAATTAACATAAAATTTTATAAATATACAACAAAAAAGAGAAATAATTCAAACAACATTTGATTTTGGGTTTTCAGATAATAATAAAGAATTATTAATGATAAACTATAGTTTTGGAATAAAACTTATTAATTAATCAAATTTTATTGCCATAATAGTGTAAGTACATCAAATCATGGGTTTAACAATAGATTTGTTTTTTCCAGTATATATGCTAACATGTGCACAAATCAAACCTACATTATACCTATGTCTAAATGTACATAACGGATACGGTTACTATGTCGGTACATATATATATGCGCAAAACTTCCATCATGTTTTTAGAATGTCGTTAACGTTGTTTCATAATACTTTTTAAATGGATAATATTATCGAATTCTGCAAAACTCGCTGTTGCTTCATTTCTGCTGCTGTTGTTGTTTAAGCTCACCTATAAATTTGTAATATTTGCGCGCGCATTCAGTGGATATTCATAAAAGTAACAAGTGAAAAAATCTCCAGACCAAAACGAGAGCAACGAGTGGGATCTTTTTCCATTTTTAGTTGGAAACTGTATTTCAGTGGGTTTACATATTTACCAGTAAGTTGTAAGCGAAAACCAAAAATTTTTGCTTTTTTTGGATTCTGTGAAAAGTGAAAATTGTGGAAAAATCTTTTTATATATATATATATATATATATATATATATATATATAAATATTCATGTTATACAAAATGCAAAGTTGTTTTCTAAAATTATTTTTCTTATATGTTCTCAAGCAAAAATTACGATAAAAAAGTGGTTCTCAACATTATTTGCCTCACACTTTTTTTACCATTGAATCTTTTTATATTCCTTTTTCAAAGTTCACACATGTGAAAAGTAAATATAAGTAAAAGTTGCTCGTTGACATTCAACAATTTTTATCGATTCAGCTCAAATGCAACTAGTTGTCGTTCATATAAGACATATTTTATCGAATTTCTAGCTCCAACACTATACATACGTGTGCACACTCCAGATATTTCAGTGTCGCTATTAGCGTTGTTAGCTATATATTCCAATTATTTTCAACCAATAACTTGAATTTCCTTTCAATGGTTTTATATTTTGAATAAATATTAACAAAGCTTTTACATATTTTTTATGAATGCAATTTTATATTTGCTCATTTTGTGTGATATTATCTACGTGGTAATATATATATATATATATACAATTATACATTTATGATGATGGAAAATGTATTCGAGAAAGGTTATTATAACAACCAATATGTAAATTATAGCTTGACTTTTCATATTTCGATCTTTTAAATTATTTAATGAAAGAGATAAAATGTATGTATTTAAAGGATATTTTCAATAATTTGCATACAATTAATGTACACGGAAGACAACATTTTATGAGAGATTTTTTATAGAATTAATGTTTTCTGAATCCGTTGATTATCATACATCCAGATTATCATACATTGAGTGTGAATTCATCACAAAAAATGTACGTACTACACCTTTATTTTCTAATATAGATTTTAGAAGTTTTCAAACAACTTATTCAATAACACATTATCGTCAAAATCAGTTTAATATTTATGTGTGAGTAGTAAATTTCATACAATGTAAGTAGAAAGAAATTATTCTAATGTTATTCGTATACGCCAATTAAGGCTACTAAGTAAGTGTTAATTACATTTTTTGCGTATACTGAAATAATCATATCCCATTATCCCGTTTTACATTTTTTGCGTATACTGAAATAATCATATCCCATTATCCCGTTTATCCGTAACGTATCTAGAATTTTAAGATTTGTTTTCTTGAACAAATGAATATATTTCAAATAACGTAATGTGCCCAGTTACCGAACACCTAAGAAGCTTGTTTAAATTTGAACTATTCTACAGAAAAAAATATGTAATATTTCTTATAAATCTTTTCGTAGATCGCTACGTTATTCATTTCTCTCTCAAAATATTTCTATATGTTCTACAAAGCCTTTATTTTTTTCATCACGGAAACAAGCCTTGGTATCGGACATGTAGTGTTTGGTATAGTACCAGTTATCGGACACAGAGATGGTACCAGTTATCGCACATAGTTTTTCGGAAAATAAAAGAAAATTGTGAACGGAAAAATCATGAATTTGTTTTCATTCGATACGCGATAAAAACTTCATTATTTGGAAAATATGTACGCGATAATTTTGGAAAGAAATATTTAAACATTATATAAAAAGAATCAGAAATCTTCACTGAATGAAAATATTTTGAAATTAAATTACAATTTTATTATTGAAGTAAACATTTCACTTACCATCATTTCACTTACTTATTGGTAAGAGGAACAATCCTTTCTGTTTGAAGAACTCTTTAACACAAGAGTGTATATCGTGAAAATTGGGCATTACAATTTTGTATGAAAATGTACCAGATATCGGACATTGGAAAAAATGTCAAATTAAATGCTTTAAAAAAATTCAATTCGATAAATTGCAATATTTTTCAAAACATTCAGAATCTTCGCTTCAAAAATATATTTATTATTTATGAATAGATACAAAAATGTTTCTCCGAAAATTAAATAATTCAATTTATTTTTACGTGCCTTAATCGCCGTTCAATTCACTTTTATTCAATTTGCTAACTTGGATTCATATACACGGAAATTCCAGCTTAAACAATGATTTTTCATTTCAATAATCAAAGCAAAGCATAACAAAAACAAAGTGAAAATACAATGGAATAACTGTATAGAAAACAAGGGAGACTAAGTTTGCACGTTTGCACATATATATATATATAAATCACCATATAAATATCAATTTAGAGGGATTAAGGGAAACATTTTAGAACTCAATGGTAGATCGTAACCGCAAACCATGCTAAAAATATGATTTGTTATATTTTTATAGGAAACTAATCGAGTTGGCATCATTTGGTATTGTATTTATATGCAATATATCTGTTATGCGATTTTATAGAGAACCAGACACGGACGAGTTCAGTTATCGATTTATCTATAGGATTGAGAAATAGACTTGCACCCAAAACACAAAAGTTGAAATTTTTTCGCTCTTACCTCGGAATACTTTTCCATATGGTGTGCAAATAACGTGTGTAAAGTTTCATGCCGATAGCTCAACGCTAGATGGTGCCGCAAGAGCTCGGTAGGTCATTATGTGAATTTATTGAAAAATGACATTTTCAGTTAAAATAAAAATATCTTCGCACAAATGGTTGTCTAAAAATTGATGGAGTTATATGTCATATATGGTGGCGACTTGAACGAGAATGAAGACAACTATTTCAAAAAAATCGAAAAAAAATGTGTTTTGGTTTATTTTTCATATTTCTACGCTCAAATTGATCTTATTTCATCGATTAAGACCATTTTAGTCTTTATAAACCATCAAATGGCCAAATTATACAGATTTACTAATCCAGGTAACAACTTTTAAAAATCGTTAAAAACCAGCAAAATTAATTACTTTCACTAGTCAACCAATTTGAATTTTTAGTAATGACGATTCGTGTACACTCGGCACATCATCGCTGCTTTACGGAATATCAGCCGTTGAGTTCACTGCGAATTGTCGTGTATCTAATGCACCAAAGAAAGTTCGCACAAAAGAGAATGAAAAATGTACATATGTATAGTCGTTGACAAAACAATGTTCCTACTATGAAAATCACCGATGTATATTACACTGTAATACACGCTGCGTTCTATAATCGCTATAATCTATATGCTATGGCTGTATTTGTGTTCTGATTATTGGATAAGTACAAAACACTTCGTTCGAAGTTCTCACTGTGACGCAATATTGTAAATCTGGAAATGTTCTGATATAAATTTTCAGTGACGCGTTCGTTCATATACGCATACAAAATGTTAATATTGCGTCACCACAAAAAATATATGAAAATAAATCCAACATTAAGCTCGAGCTATGCATAAAGCGGTTGCTATTTCATAGGCGCTATTTAATTCGTGTGCTAACACCGAGTTGGAATATCATGGCCTACTATTCTTTGTACATTTGAATGTGAGTACGAGCGAGATGTAGAAAATAACGCACAACATGCACAAATAGCAGCCTCTGTATCCATAGATAAATGCATAAAACATTAAGAAACACTGAAACAATCGTTTATAGATCGAATATTGTGCTGTTAAGCGTGTTCAGATTTTCGTATATTTTCTGTTCTAAGTATTAGACACTAGATTAGACATGTCTATCACTTTGGGTTAGAATTTTTGGGGCGACGCAATATTAACATTTTGTATGCGTATATGAACGAACGCGTCACTGAAAATTTATATCAGAACATTTCCAGATTTACAATATTGCGTCACAGTGAGAACTTCGAACGAAGTGTTTTGTACTTATATCAATATTTTTTTAGTAATTTATGACGAAATTCTAACGCTAAGTGTGTTGAGACCTGATTTTATCATAAAATAAATGTCATATTCAGTTTTCTCGTACCAAAAAATCCCCAAATACCAATTTTCAAAGCAATCGAATAAAAGCCAATTTTTTCCGAAATATCATTCCAAAAGAAAGGTTTCAAGCCGAAAAATCTCAAAAATTGAACTAATTTCTCAAAACGGTTGCCACCATTGAATTCCTCGGGTCCGAATTTTGTAAAATCAGTTGTCAAAATGAACAAAAAAAGTAAAAACCTAGTACATTACGGTGGATTACCAAGATATTAAAATATAGGTGGCCGCTTAAGTTCGAACTTTTTTCAATTTTCACCAAATAAAACAATGATGGTTTTTAAAAATGTGCATATCGGCACAAAATTAATATAATAATAACTGCACCGAACAGCGTTCCTTCGCCTTGGTGGTTTATTGAA